TTGTATCTCTTGGCACATCACACATTCAGCTACATTTATTTGTGTACATTTTTGATGTCTCTACTATATTAAAAGGCCAGCTGTCTGCATTTATTTTTCTTTTCTAGTGGCCCAGTAAAAGATAATCTCATAGGCCTTTTTATGTGTGTAAAGGTGCCGGATGTTTCATCAAGGAAGAAGTGAATGGATGTAGTAAATAAGTGGAGTGCCAGCCAAAGACTATTACTTTGTCTTGTTCTTCTTTTCTAATTATTTTTATTTTTGTTTCTAATACAGTATCTCGAAGAGCAGATGTTCTAGAAGTATCTATTGGTATAACTTCAAAATACTTAATGTTCTTTTAAAAATCACAGTGGCTTCTGTAAAGCCATAGAAGTACTGGAGAATACATTATTTTTCATTAGTTTTTCTTAAAGGATATGTTTTGGGAGTTATTAGCCACAAATGAGTTTATTTTGATGGGCTAAAATGCATTTTATAGTGACACAGAGAGCTTTGATAGTAAATTTATGTAGATTTTGGACTTCAACACACCCTGGTTTGGTCTCTGGCCTTAACATTTACTACCTGTGTGAAATTGGGCAAATTAGTTAACCTCTGTGAAACTCAAATTCGCCATCTGTAAAACAGGAGTACCAACATTACCTCACAGGTTAGTTATATTAAGTGGAAGCTCTATACAAACAACCTATATTATGTGCCTTGCTCACAATAAATAATAAGTATTATTTCTCTTCCTTTCTACCCTTTTATTATTGACTTTCAGTCTGCTTTTCTAACTAAAATGCCTACCTTCATTTTGATTACACAAAATTAAAGTTGACACTTACTCAAAATTTAATATGTACAACGTAATCCAAACTGAGATGTCTTGCAAAGCATTTAAGAAGTATCTAGTGTTACCAGGGTTTCAGATATCTGTTTCTTTTGCTTTCTCTCTTAGGAATGGTGATTTCTTTTCTTCTGGAAAGCTACCCTTCTCTGAGGACAGGGTAAGGGGATCAATGATCATAATTTGTACAACCTCACCACTTCCCCATGCCCTCTCCCCTGAGGTAGACGTGTTTCCAAAATGGGCTTTTTCTCTAGGATTTTCATTGGGTTTTTTCTAGGATACTAAAAGTGGACTGTAGTTAGATCCTGTCCTTCCCCTGTGAAGGAAGCAGAGGATCTTTGAGCCTGGGCACGGTTGACCATCATGGCTTTCTTTTGGAGAAAGGCAGTCTGCAACAATAAGGTAGGCACATGGAAAGAAGACCCGATTACTCAGCCATACCCCACATTTGGTATCGTGGATCAAGAAAATCTCTAGTTTTGGCTAAACTAGCATGAGTGTGATCTTCATTTATGACCAAAGTAAAAAAGAAACACATGTAAGCAGGGAGTTACCTGGGATTCATTGTATCCTGCTGTTTCCTCCCTGTTCAGCCTCTGAATTTTAGTATCTGACCCCCAGGTAAATCATGGTGCCTCCCAGGTAGAGCATTTAGGCCAATCACTGTATAATTTACCGGCTACTGTTTTAGTTATGGGCTGTAACCTTAACCACGGCCAGGATTTGGTAAATGCTAGGGTGTTGCGTGGGGGGAGACCTGGTGGGAAAGAGTGGCAAGATTAGTATCTTCAGGGGGAATAAAGAACAAAGGACGTCTGGAGCACAGGGTTTGTTCTCAGTGAGCCACTTTGAGCACAGTCAATGGAAGGTCTGAAAACTCCCCTGCTCTGTGTCAAGCAGTGTGTGTCAAAGCCACCTTGGGAAACAGATCTGGCCTGTTGTGGGGGAAGGGGGTTCCTGACCAAAATCTCCTTCACCAGATTCCTTGGGTCTAAGTTGCCCGAGCTACGAAACTGAATAGCTTCTTAAATAAATGAACACATCTTAAATTCAAAGGAATTAGGTTTTTTTGTGGGGGAGGCTCAATTTCCCCCATTCCTCTCCCTTCCATCTTCTCTCCCTTATTTCCTCCTTTCTTCCAAGTAACATTTTTTAGATGACTTTTAAGGTGTAATGTTTTCACCTCATAGAAATATTTAAAGTGCAGAGGAAAAAATGAAATAAGGATCACCTATAATACTACCACTCAGAGATATTCCCTATTAATTTCTGGCATATATTCTTCCAATTCTTTTTCTATGCAACAATATTTTAACATAATTGAAATCATAGTGCATATCTACCATTGCAGCCTCTTGATATTTTCTTTGAACAAATCTAAACAGTTTCTCCTATTTCGTTTTTTCCTTCCTATTGCTTTGATATTAAAGGTAGAGCTGCCATGAACATCTTAGCATCGCATCTTTGATGCCATATTTCAGGAGACATAGAGCACTGATAGCATGTGTTTTGAAAGATTTGCACCAAGGTAAACAGATAATCCAGATACTGTACTTGACCCCATTTTTGTCTTCCTGCATATAAATTTTTCGTATGCATTATAATTTGATATGATCAGATCAGAGATGACACCAAGTGTGTTTATAGGAGTAGAATCAGATGTTAACATGTCTGATACCTGAAAAAATTATCGTTAGTTTCTGGGTGGGAAGGAAATTCAGAAATATAAAACAGTCACAATTGCTAGACTTCTGGTCTTCCCTCACTGTTCAAGCTGAGAGCCCATCATGATTTCTAGCAAGAGTCTATGCTCATTTTTCTGTCAGGCTTTTCTTGCACAGCCTAGAGGATCTGCTTTGTCAAACAACAAAATAGAAGTACAGTAGTTTGGCTACAAAGTGGAAAATAACAGTAGTATTTCTCACTGTTTTAGAGGAAGTGCAAACTACAAAGGCGTTAAAATTAAGACAACATTGTTAAAGAAGAGATTAGAATGCAATATACATGTGCCACTTTGACAACAGTCACAGGTGGCTCCTCTCTTCAGCTGATTAATCAAGTCAAATCCTTCAGCCCAGGGATGGTGCACAAAGACAACTTTTGTTTCTGCCTAAGCCATCATCTGGTTATACCTGTGACTCTCTATAACACTTGGCAACCTTTTCACTGAACCTTTGCAAAGAAATCGGATCAGAAAACCACGGTATCTTTGGAAGAATGAGGTGGTATATGCAAGAAAACATTGGTGAAATAGTTTATGTTATTCATTTTTAAAAGACCCAATTTGAGGCCGGCAGGAAGTGTAAGACAGCCCGAATGAAAGCTCCATTTGGCCATAACATTTTTCAAGACATAGGGGAGCCTGGAATAGGCAGAAAAGCAATACTATGAAAAACTTTGTTTTTATTTTGTATTTTGGAGACTGGAACTGATAAAAACTTTCTGATTTTCCATCTTTGACAGGGCAAGTCTCATTTCCAAACTAACTGTTATCTTCTACTTTGAGAATTCCCTCTGAGACAACAGGAAAAATAAAGGCTTTAGAGAAAACTAGTAAGAGCAGCATGGACCCTAAGGAGATCAAACTTTCGTCCTTGTCTTTGAACTACAATGTGGTCTAACTGGACTCAGGCATTTACATGAGTTCTGAATTATCTGATGCAGTGGTTCTTCACTGGGGGACAGATTACAAGCAAAGAAGTATTGGACACATTCTCCTTCTCTTGTTGAGAATACTGATGGAATCTAATTTTCTTTTATTTCAGGGGGGGAAAGCAAAGGCCCAAGAGAATGGATCAAAGGCCCAAGGTCACCTTGTCATTAATGGCAGGCTAGGACTAGAATAGAAGACTCTTCTCCCAAGATAGCATTCTTTCCACCTCATGCCCAGAATCCACATGGACTTTGCAGCATGGAGGCCCACTCTTTACCAATGAGAACCTCTTTCTAGCCTCATCCCTGAGTTATATTAGCTTCCAACCCTTAGTGCCTCAGCTCCTAAAGTCTTTCCTTGACGAGGATTTGGCCACAGTGAAATTGGACTTATGCGTGAGATTACAGATAGGCCTTACCTGATGACACAACTCCAAACGATTGGGACTGGTTGAGAGAGACCCACACAACACAACAATGATGCCACATACAATTAATAATATCCTCATATGTGAGGGAGGAGGAGGTACTGGTCTTCTCACTTAGGTGTATCCCTCACTCCCAGGAAATCTCATATTTCTAGACCCAGGAGATCCAGGCACTAGAAAGGTTTTTTTTCCCCCAGAAAAATGTCACTCAGGTCCTTCCATAAGGATGGGAGTCTGATGTTTTAAAGACTGGGGAATCTAGTGTCTTTTTGTAATTTGTACTAGTTGCTCTTCAGCTGCTCTGACAGGATAGAAATTAAATGATTCAAAGGTAGTTGTTCTCTTCAGAACTGGACGCTCCTAGTGTTCCAACCACCAATCTTACTTATAAGTGTTTTCGGTTTATTTAAGGAAATATATCCATAAGTATACTTTGAATTACCCATAATAATGGTGGTAGTGATATAAGAAGAAAAAGATGAGGCTATCCATGGCTAGTTTAAAACTATATTTTCAATATTTATAATAACTCGATGAAGTGTTTGTGGAAATGAGCTCATTAAAATCTCAAGTGAAAAAAGATGTATAATATGCAAGTATGTATACTCATAATTGCACCATTTGTAACAGCCCCAAACTGGAAGCTTCTCACATGCCTATCAACAATGGAATGGATGAATTGTAGTATAATCACACAATAGGATGTTATTGAGTAGTGACAATGAAAGATCCACAGTCGAATGCAACAATATAGATGAATCTCAAAATGTAACACTGAGTGAAAGAAGCCAGACACAAAAGAATACATGCTAATCGATTAAAATTAATGTGTGATACTAGGAGTCAGGACAGTGGTTGTCCTCGGAGGAAGGAAGTGGTAGTTGGAAGAAGGGGTTTCTAAGGCACTAGTAATGTTTTGTTTCTTAAAGGTGCTGGTTACAGGGCTGTGTTCAGTTGGAGAAAGTTCACTGAGCTGTACGCTTATGCTTAATGAAACTTTTGGGTATACGTTGTATTTTCATTAACCTTTAAAAAAAGGTAAATAAATGGGCATTTTTCAAGAAGCAAGAAAACCAACACACATATTTTGAATTGAAATTCCCTCATTTTCATTTTGTTAGGAAAAATAAGGAAAATGCCTCTTTTGTAAAATACTAATCAAATAACGAAGTTAACCAAACTAGCCAAAAGGACAGGGAAAGAGAAGAAGATAAAGCCTCAAGAGATGAGTTCCTAGCAGGGACTAGACAGGCCCCTCCCAGAACTCTAGGCAAGTTCGGATTTCAGACGCAGGTCTGTCCGAGGTGGGCAAACCTCTCATTTATATTCAGAAATGCACTCTCCAGAGCTAGACTGCTGGCACAGTAGGCTCCGTGAGTAATGGGCTCACAATTCCAATTTAGGATCAAAATATTTCCATCAGATGGCAAACCTGAAAAGCTAAGGAGATGCAGAGCTACACAGATGCAGTTTTGTCCTTCTTTCATAGCCAGCTCAGGGACAGAGTTTATTTTGAAAAATTCTGCTTCAGACAACGGTCCAATGGCAATTTTTAACCCAGAGTTTGTGCTTTAAGCTTTTTATCAATATGATTGATAAGCTTAAAAAGTCTCAAATCTTCATCTGTACATCACTTTACAGATCTTAGTCCATAACTATTTATCTGTCTGAAACGTCAATATTCAATGATTACCTATAATAATTACTTAGTCATAAATGTAGTTAATAATTAAATATAAAAATTATTATTTATACATTACTACAAATCTCTTAAAAAGATCAAGTTTTGAGAGAGAGAGAGAGAACAAGAAATTGCTTAGAAAATTGCATGGACCCTCAAGAATTTCATTATCGGTGAAAGCAGGTACAATCAAAAACAGTTTCAGACATTCATTTTAGCCCTAAGAGTAGCTTAAAATAAAATGATCTCAGAATGAATAAACTGATGATTGGCAAAATCGGTTTCAAATTACATTAAGTCCCAAGGCCCCAATATGTATAAGAATTCTTTGGAAGAGTTCTGTAGGAGTGAACAAGTTGCAAATAAAAGTAAAAACAAGTAGTGAGGCAATGTGTTTTTAACCCTCATGCCACCGCTGTGCTTTTGGAGCCAAATGTATGCTTCAATCTCTTTAATCTCCCTTTGATTAGCAATCCCAGTCTACATCAAGTGGTTAACACTGTTTTCAAGAGACGACATCAACTGGCAGATCATATGAGAAACAGAAATGAATGGTAATATCTTTAGAGATCAAGCATTATTTACACAGTGAGAGTGATTGATTTGATAGACACCAGACACCCCCCTCCTCTCTCCACACCTTTTCCAGAATAACCTAACTCCATTTCTAATATGATGCTTTGTCATCTCTGTGAACTATCCCCCATGTCATTACAGTGACCTCTGCGGACAGAGTTCCCCGTTTCGGTGGTGTTGGCAAGTCTAGCCAAGGGCCACACCGCTTTCGCTCAAGATCACCACACGCGGCATTTCTTTTCTGGATTCATGTATGAATTCTTGCGGCAGTGAAAGGCCTCTGAAAACTCAGGGGAGTTCTGCAAAGTCCCAATAATCCTGCGAAACAAACAAAAGTCACATCAGCCTTTGATACTTAGGCCCATGCCATGTAGGAGCTCTACAGAATTTCTCGAAGTAGTTCTATTGACGGAATTTGGAATTTACAGCTTGAGAGGAAAAAAAAAAAAGTTCTACTCATTAACAGACTTTTTAAATGGACAGGTAACAAAGTAGCAGAGCACCGATTTTGAAGACTGTGTGGCTTGAATCCTGGGTGTGAGTTGTATTTACTTAGAGTCTCTGTGCTTCAGTCTCCTTTTCTGTAAAATGCATATAGTAATAGTACCTGCATCTTCTGGTTGTCACAGGGAGTGGACTTATAAACACCCTATGCGTGTTGTAAAATAAATGAATAGTTCATATTCAGAATTGCAGTTATTATAAGAAGAGTTTAGTCAAAAATAAAATCACGATTTTTCACTACATCTTGGAAGGGCTCACACAACAACTTACATATAATAGACTTTAAATAGATACTTGTTGATTTGATCTAATAAGGAAGATCATTATTTTCTTTTTCTCCAAAAGAACTTCATAGATATCAGAAACTGGATTCAGCCTGAGTAACTGGAAAGGGCTGGCAAAAAGTCAATGTCTTCTTATCTCTGACCCCGGTGGGCAAAAACAACACTGTCCGGCCCACTGTCGGCACCAAGCAGCATTGGAAGGGAGAGAGAGGTCAGTACGATGATGCAGAGGGGATGTTTTCACACCAACCCCAAACCAGCTCCTTCCTTTCTCTTCCTCCCGGGACCATCCCACCACACCCACCTTGGGCTGGGAGGAAGGGCAGGGAGGCAAACAGACGAGGGTGGTGGGAAGACCTCAGGCAAGTGACAGGAGAGTGTGTTCTAATTACTGAGATCTCCGTCCGCGGCAGGTGTGCTGAGTATAAATCTTTGCAGTCTTATCTCCTCTGACCCATTCTCCACACAGCAGAATGACCTTTAAAGTTGGAGTCAAATCCCCTAATTCCCTTCCTTAAAAATTTCCAGGGGCTTGAATGAAATCCAACTCCTCTCCATGCCTCCAATGTTCTGAGGGCTCCAGCCAACCTTCCCGGCCTCCCCATAGTACGTTTCTCTTCCTGTTTCTCATCAGGTTCAAACTACACAGACCGACTTTCCATTCATCAAACCAGCCAATTTCTTTCCCTCTTTAGGAACTTCTGCTCCTATGGACCCCACTCCCTTGAAAGTTACTGCCCAGTGACTCCATGATTCACTCCTTCTCAGCTTTCATGCCTCTACTTAAATAGCCCTCCTCAGAGGCTTTCTTCAAAGAATGTCCAAATTAGTTCCTCCCACCCGTAGTCGCCCCATCGGTTCACAACGATTTGTTCTCCTTCTTTACTTTGTGACATCACCACTACACTGTAATCTGAGGGCAAAATACTGTGTATCTCTTGCTGCCTGTTGCCCTCCCTGCAAAGCCTACCACAGTGCTTTGTCTACCGTAGGACTCAGTACATACTAACTGAATACATGAGACTGTCAGCTGGGCACGGTGATTACGTGTATAGGAGGAATAGGTCATTACAAAGAAAAACACTACTTAGCATTTTTGTGTTTACTTGCAACTATGGACCAACTATGAGAAAAAGCAAGCATTTCTTTTCCTTATCCCCATTCCAGGGAAGACAGATCCATACCTAATTTCTAAAAGTCTGACTTCCTAATGTGTCAACCATTACCACATCAACTATCTCTCCAGCCCCAACATCACAACTCCCCTATCCTTCAGGGAGAATGTAAACTTTTTTGGTTGTGTGTTTTTTCTTAGTACTCCTAGAGGAGCCCTGAAGATTAACAGGAATCTTCCTGGTATGGGGGTGTTGAGGTGGGGTGGGGGACAGAGCTGGGGAATTTATATCTATTAGTCCACTTGAGGTGGAGAAGACTGGCCTCCCCAGTGCTGAGGAGGGGCCCAGTAATGGAGGGTTGTGTGAATGACAGACATTCTTCCCACTGTGAGCAGGGCCCTGAGAGGACCTCTGATAGGATGGCATGTTATGGGGGGGAGCCCGAACATCAAGAGCAGTGGTTCCCGAGGCCCATGCCCATGACCACCAGAAAGAAATGGAGCCACCTGACTTCAGATGGAGCCTCTGAACTGCAGACATATCAGCAGTGACCATGGCAGGCTGGAGATGGAGACTAATTTCCTAATTTCTGGGTCTTCGGATTCCTGTACAACCCTAAAAAGGAGTACACTGAAAACTACTGAAATTAAATTTCTTACTTCCCTGCTTAGGGTGGGAGCTTAGAGATTGAATTAATTTGCTATAATGATGATGACGGTGATGATGTGTCATTTCTTATACCTGAAAGTCCAAGAACAAATTCACCTGATACTTGGTCAAAAGTGGTCATGTATGTAGGAATAAAAAGGTTTTATTTTATTTTTAGTAATCTCTGTACCCAACATGGGGCTCAAACTCACAACCCCAAGATCAAGAGTCCCATGCACTACTGAGCCAGCCAGGTGCCCCAAGGAATAAAAAGATTTTAGACATCAGGAATTTGTATTGGTCTTTGGTCTTTTAAGTTTCTAGGCTCATGGACTCTGAGACCGAGAGAAACTTTGATTCGTTTAATTCAATCCCCTTTCCACTTTGGGAAGCCCTATGTGCTAGCTTAGTGGCAGTCATCACGATGACTTGATTATTCCTCAAATTGAGCAGCAAGCTCCCTGATGGACAGGGAAAGCATCTGGGATCCTGTGACTAGAAGAGCTGCTCTTGTTTGTTTTCATTTTATTAAACTTTTTTTTTTAAAGGATTTTGTCTTAGATATAATCATAGGGGCACAAGTACATCAGTAAAATGTCCAAACTCATGACTTAATTCTACATTTGTCATAAAAACATGAGGGAAATGAAAACAAAAACAAAAAACCCACACACCTCAAGGAAGGGAACTCTTCACAAAGCACCAATGGCAGTTAGCCGTGGAGCAACACTCAACCTAATGTGCACTCAGCTCTCCATTTCCGTTCCAGCTCTTCTCTTTCAATCCAAAAGCTTCACTTAGATCATTTGGTTCTGAATAATTAGGTCAACCATGTACCAGGACTTCACTTACCTTCCCAGGACTCTGATTAATGTCTTATTGTTTACATTAATTCTTTGGATAGATGACATAAATAATCTATTTCAGAAAGTAGATACATTATTAATCAAATGAATCCCTTCTCTTAAGAGTGGGGTCATCTTTCATTAATATTACATAAAGGACTTACATGAATTTCATGCTATATTAAAACTGTGCAATGTTTGTGTTTATGATAACAGAAGATAAATGGCTTTTATTGATTATGTCTTAAAGTGATTTATTTGAAATTTTGACCTTATTATATAAAATGTTTTATTATACTGTTGTTGTTTATTCCCTTGGCAAATAATCACTTGTTTTAAAAACATCTAAGGGATATGGAGTTGAACATCAGGTGACCAAGAAGACTACTCCTGCCTGTGCCTAACTGGATTTTTTAATTACTGAATGAGTTTTTTGCAATTAATTGGTCTTCTGACAACCTTTTGTTACTTCTTATATTATTTATTTTTTTTTTTAAAAAAGACTTTATTTATTTGACAGAGAGAGAGAGAGAAAAAGAGAGAGACAGCGAGAGAGGGAACACAAGCAGGGGGAATGGGAGATGGAGAAGCAGGCTTCCCACTGAGTAGGGAGCCCGATATGGGGCTCGATCCCAGGACCCTGGGATCATGACCTGAGCCGAAGGCAGACGCTTAACCGACTGAGCCACCCAGGCATCCCTTGTTACTTCTTTTAAATGAATGACTTGGTTATGAGGTTAACTAGCTGCATTTATAAATAAACTATCCAATCTTTATCGTTAACTGTTGTTCATGGTTTTGTTAAAGGAAGGTCACATTGATCAGCTTATGTTCCACTATAAATTCACAAAGAAATAAATGCCTGAATAGATTCCCAGATGTGGTTTGAAGATTAACAAGTGCTACAAGGTTCACCAAAATCCAAACTGACATTTACAAAATATCAGAAACCAATGCTAATATTTAAGGCAAAGAGAAGAAACATTAGTATTTCAAAGAGGATTTAGCATACACATACTAAACTCATGGAATAATAGGGAACAAAATCGCCATATTACCTGAAAATGTCTACATAAAACACTAGAAAGAATATCTTACAAAAAGTACTAGAAATTAAGCTGTGGAAAAAATGTCTTGCTTTATTTGTGGTGTTAGTTCTGTAAAGTGCCCTTTTATTCTGACTGGAAGATAATATCGAGCAATTTAAGCATCTAAATGAGCACCTTTACTATTTAGGTAGTGCATACATTGGTATCACTTTGTCCCTTTGAACTTGCTTTAAAGAAATTATCAGACCCTTATATATTGTTTAGAAATATTACATCTGAATAACTTTAGAGACACATCTGTAGATTATATGGTAAATATTAGCATAACAACCATTCCAAGTGATGGGGATGGCTAACAGAAACAGAATTCCAAAAAGAAGTCATTTAAATTGTGAGTTCAATTTCTAGAACATCAAGGGGAAATGTTTTTATTTTAAATACTAAAGTTTTAGGGGCGCCTGGGTGGCTCAGTCGGTTAAACTTCTGCCTTCGGCTCAGGCCATGATCCCAGGGTGCTGGGATTGAGCCCCATATCAGGCTCCCTGCTCAGCCGGGAGTCTGCTTCTCCCTCTGCCTCTGAAACTCCTGTTCATGCTCTCTCTCTCTCTCTCTCTCTTTCTCTCTCAAACTGATAAATTAAAAAAAAAAAATTTCTCTCTAAATACTAAAGTTTTAGAAGTTTATAGGGGCCCCCGGGGGCTCAGTTGTTAAGTGTCTGCCTTTGGCTCAGGTCATGATCCCAGGGTCCTGGGATCGAGCCCCGGCATCGGGCTCGGGCTACCTGCTCGGCAGGAAGCCTGCTTCTCCCTCTCCCATTCCCCCTGCTTGGCTTCCCTCTCTCGCTGTCTCTTTCTCTCTGTCAAAAAATCTATAAAATCTTTAAAAAAAAGAAAAGAAAAGAAAAGAAAGTTTATCTAAACTACGTAAGACTTTAGTTAGGAAGACTAAAACAATTACAGCTCAAAACTAACAAATGGTTTTATAGATTCAGCTTTATATCAAATATATTTTGCCTTCTGTTTTAATACTGCCTTAAGCATAAGGTTACAAGATCTCTATTTCAGAAATGTTTCTACACAAACCACTATGCACAATTTCTCAATAGCAATTCAATGTCTATTAGTTTTAAGGCTTTTAAAAAAATATGTTTTACTTTGTACAGCCAGGAAGCAGCCCGTTTCCAAAACTAAATGTAACCTCAACCTTTTGCCGAGGAAATCCCTTTACCTCCAGAGAAAATAATAATTTCCTTGACAAAAGGTTGGCATTCCATTTACCCTTTTTAAAAAACAACACATACTTTTCTTACTAGAAACGAAAAATAGTCAAAGAGGCATCTTTTGCACCAGAACAAAGAAAGTTACAAATAAAGTTGTGAATAATTTACATATTTTATAAAAAAATAGTATGTATTTTTACAGATAGCAAATTTTACATATTTATAATAAAATTGTTTTCAGTTTAAAATTGAGGGGAGAAAACAGTTATGTATTTACCTATATATCATCTAATCAGTGATCAGTTATTGACATTCTGAACTATCCAGACGTAAGAAATGAGCAACAAAAAGCCCTTGACTCTCAGGTAATAAAACTGTTGCAAAGTCCATATATTTACCCCTGGGGGTTCTTAATTCTGTTCACACCTTTCTTATCTAAAAATAATCCTAGCACTAATTTTCAAACACATATATGTAATAGATACTTCTTCTATATTAACATTAATCTTCTTAACAACTCTCAGGATAATTTAATCCTAATTTAAAATATCTAGAAACTGAGACACAAAGGTTAAGTAACAGCTTATAAATGGCAAAGCTGTGGGTGGAACTCAAGTGTTTCTTCCTTCAAAGCTTACATTCATTTTTTTCACCAAGTATAAGGATCTGCTTTCTGAGCTAATCAGAATGAAGCAATGGGATGGCAAAGGGCAGGCAATGTAGTAACAGCGAAGACAACTAGGGAAGAAACAAACAGGAAAACCCTAATAAAAAGCCAAAATGAAAAGTCAAAAAAGCATCTCCATATCCCCATTGGTGGCTCTTTAGTGTAGGAATAAATAGCTCCCCATACTCTAGCTTTTGAGGATTTCACTAAACTAATAAACACTAAAATGCCAACTAATAGTCATAACAATAGTCTGTGTCATTAAAAAAAAAAAAAAGCTAGGTTTTGTTCAGGATACTGTGTTAATAAGGCAATAAGGTAGAAAATGTATTGTAACAGAGAAATTTTAATCCAGTGGTTAAGATAAAAATGTTAATACTCAAGGGACAAATTTTAGCTATCAAAATCTTTCAATTTGCAAGCCCCATTCCCTGAGGATATGCCAGGTGTACCAGGTATTACAATAATATTATTTAAATTCATTAGGTTTTTATGCACATATGCTTTAGTTCATGGGGATATGGAAGGAAGAGCTTTGACCAATTAGATTGTTATCATGGCTTATGTGAGCTTATAATAATTGCCCTCTGTTGTCTTCAGAATTAAATTCCTGTATTTTCACTTCTGAAGACTTCAGTAAGGAAAAAGACAAATTCTAAAAACGAAAACAAAAAGTTACTTGGGTAAACTACAATGGGAATTGATCCAGTGACTTTTGCTGCTCATTATCTAAAAAGAAGTTAATTTGATTATTCTAGCAAGACTGAATTTACCTTGGATTACACACTTAATGGGCATACAATAAACAGTTGTTGAGCGAATGAATTTTGAAAGAACAGTTAAGGCAAATACTAAATGATGGTGATTATGATGATGATACTAGACCAAGCTGAGTAAACTCTTTAATTTGTAAATATGCTATTTCATTGTTTCATAATTGAATGTGGTTTTTCCCCAGGAGTGAATGATCCAGGCAGTATGTTTATAACTATTTTAGGAAGGGCTTTTAAAACTCAGCCCATTAATTCTCTTTTGTTCTCAAGCTATTTTCCAACTACTCTATGAAATTTTGTTTGTTTTTCAGAATTCCTGTCTGAGAAGTGTTGTTAATCAGTAAATCAGTGATGAAGTGTTATTGTATGTGGGAAGGGGGAGCATTAATAATTTAGTCCTAAACTGGATACATGAGGATCCAGGATTTAACATTGAAAAGCTGGTTAGAGTGATTCTCTTTCAATACATTGCTCTCTTAGATTTTCTGATCTCAGAAGGACTTTAGATTTCTTCTAACTCAACCTTCCACTCTACAGAGCATTTCTCTCCAGCATCCTTGATGGGTTGTCCTCTGACCTCTGCTTCAAGGTACCCTCTCCTGGAGTTCTGTGGATAACTATTTTATGTTGGATAACCTCTAATTAAACCACCTTTCTCTTTATGTTGAATGGAAATCTTTCTTTGGAATGGCTACTCATTGGTGCTGGGCCTAAACTTTTCATAGCCTCTTAAAAATGTCTTTGTCCTAGCTTTAAATAGGGCCATGATTCTCACGCAACATCTTTGCTGGAATCCATCAGGCACTAAGCACAGGTCACGTACATTCTGAGGATAAGAACAGTCAAGGCTATACTTATGTAAACATGACATTTATCCTGTTGTGTTCTGTTGATTCTATCCATGACCCTCAAAAGAAAAAACAAAACAGTGGATGTCCAGATTTTATAGTCAGAGTTAGAAAAGGCCAATTTCCAAATGTGGAAGTAATGGGGTCAATATTGGAGCACCTTGACTGCTGTTCAAACCCACGCACCTGAAATTCCCTGGACTGTGAACGTCTGTTTTAATGGAGTTGACAGCATACTCTGGCCTGTAGGTGCCACACCACACCTAGGGATAAGAAGATAAAGGAAAGTAGTGTGCTTAGGTTCAATCAAAGATTATTTGTATGGGCAGGCCCACTACCTATTGCAAAAATTAAATTGGAATTCTGCATTTCTCAACCATTTGCTCTTCAAATAACGTTCAGAGATAGGCAACCAGGAACATAATTACCATTAATATGAGCTGATAGTCTGTTATAAACAGTGAAAGTCAGTCAAGTCAAATGCTCTGCCACAGCTGATTAAAACAAGAAAACTCAGCATGCAATATCTAATTAACTATGAAATTATGATTCAAGATGATTTTCATATCTATCAATCAAGAAAGATACAATACCTGGGCAAAGTTCAAGAAGAATAGTTGTTTGTGATTTAGGTCAAGTCCAGGAAGTAATTTTTCTTCACCATTCTTTTTAACATAATTTTGATAGGCCTAGGCAGTTAATGAAATAGAAACATGATGTTTATAATTTTCTAAATTTATGTATAAATCTGTGCAAAAGACCATGTAATCCAGTAATTAACCTTTTATATTGGGATCACCATAATAATCTATTTACATATGGCAACCTACAACTATTTCATGGATTAGAAAGAAAACCAGAATTCATTTACAAATGTTCTGAAAATGTCATTGATCAATAAATGTCAGTTGAATGAATGGATGACTTATATAAATGATAAAAAACTTATCTAAATGTTGTTCTATAGATAGATGGATAAGTCTTGCCAGTTGGGAGAATGGATTGCCAAGGGAGTCAGTTTGCAATTACCATATTTAGCTCAGTTACCACTCTTAGCAAAAAAGATTTACACCAGATTTTGAATGATTCATGCCAAAAGTCAAGGGATTCCTTAAGATCTCTTAAAAATAAGTACCCTACGATTCTAAGAATAAAGATGAGCAATTACTGTGGTACCCGGAAGACAGGGCAAAATAGACTGAACCTCAGTTACATTAGGAAGAAGGAATTTAGGTTACTCGAATGTCAGAAAATGTCCTTAATTCTTAAAATTCTATGAATACCATTGAAAAATGTAGTTTTCCTCTACTAAACATATTTAAGGAATTTACAACAAACTTTCTGAGATGTGTTACTTCCAATTTAATACAAAGGAAAGTGGTCAGTTAGATAAGCAGAAGATATATTTCATTTCCTCCTCCTTGCCATTAACACAGATTTATTGAGTCTCTATTATGCAAAGATGCTAGGAACATGGGGAAGACTTGAGCCTGCTCCCTCCTAGGGAGCTCACAATCTAGCAACAGGACAGAGTATTAGATGCTATGATTTCATGTATAAAAATTATAATTTGCTTCATTATAATAAGTCTATACTTGTTTTAGGTGAAGGTCTTCATGGAAGTACCATCAACCCAGATTTTGGTTGCATTTTTACAGCAATGATTTTTAATCTGTCTGAATATTAGAAATAACTGTGGGAGTATTAATGGTGCCAATGCCTTCCACTTCCAGGCAAGATGGAGTCAGAGGGACTGGATTTACCTTCCTGCTGAAACAACCAAATGATGGACCAAATATATGAAACAATGGTATGCATAACACTGGACATCTGGCAAAAAAGAGAATGATCCCTCTGAGATGGTAAATAAGGTAAGCCCTATAACTGCCCCAGCTTACTGTCTTAAGCATTTCCAGGCTACAACGTAGAGAAAGGAAACTCAACTGGAGCCCAAGGGATGGCCTTAGTTGAGAAGGACCCGAGAGTTCAAAACACCAATGACAGGGTCCTAAAGAGGAGAAAGCTATACAGGAGAGGATCTCTAGAAATCAGATGGGCCCCTCAAGATTCACACAGTAGGGTCTTGCCTCAGCAGGGGAGAATAATTGTCCCTAGACTGAGCACTACCCTAGTCCCATCTAACAAGTTGTAAAAGCAAGTTTGATCCGGAAGGATCAAACCATTTCTGAGGAATTTAATCGTGTCTAAGAATAAAGCTCAAAATGTTTGTAGGAAAACAAAAATGTCTAGGACCCTCAAGGTAAAATGCACATTGCCTGGCATCTAGTCAAAATATTACCAGTCATTCAAAGGAGCATCAATCTACCATCCCCCAGGGTTCTGCTGGGACTCATTCTTTTGTAAACTTTGCAGGTAGCTTAACCAAACCACACATTTGGATCATCCATGGTCACTGCCAAGACACAGGCCCTCCCAGTCATCTCTCCCACACTGTTCTGAAGCTTCCCCTTTCCTGGCCCAATCACTGAGGCCCTCCCTCTCCCCTCTAACTCATACATTTCTATGGTGGAAAAATAATCTTCCATCCTCATCCACTGCATAGAATATTACACACATCTTTGTCTTAGAGAAGTCTGGTTTTTCCTGGGGCACTTTATCCCCTGTACCTTCTCAAGCAGATGCTGCTCATTGTCCCAAATGTCAGCTACCTCAGGGTTGGAAGAAACACTCAAAACTACCCTCACTCCTTTTTTGTTGCTTCTAAGACCATTATTCTTCTATTCTTTTGTGAAAATCTCCACTTTTTTTTTGTGCACATGGCATCAAATAGACCACCCTTTAATCCCTGCTCTAATCATCAAATAATGACATATTTTATGGAGGATTCACAGCTGTGTCTCCAACACTGAGAATAGTGCCAAATACACAGTAAAGTCCTCAACAAGTATTTGCTGAATGCAAGAATGAATGGAAGGCTAAATGAGATTCTAAGGGATGTTCCATCAATATACTCCTCTGGGTATAATAGTCTGGATGACTACAAGGCCATGTGTTGGAGCTATATCACTTCAGTCTCTAGCTGGGTCGTTGTAACCGGACTGTGGTTTATGCTGATTATAGTCCCCAAATATTGCTTCACCTGCTGTGAAACTGAGGGTCTTATTTAGTACATTGATCAATGACTAAAATAATCCTTTTGATGAGGCACCTTTTCTAAAACATTTATTTCAGAACTTATTTCTTAGAAAAATGTTGCTTCCTCTGTGAAACTTGCATGTCTCCTCATTTTTGCTGATATAACATTCCAGGTTTCCTCTTCTCAGCCTCTCAGAAACCTAGACTGTTCAGCTCAATCATAACCATACTGCCCTTTCTGGTTAGCATACTTACCATCCCCTTTTCCCCCATGTATTTTTTACTTCCTATTCATTGTTCACTGCCTACATTATATGTGCCTTTTGCAAAAGGCTTTAAATGAATGATTAAATATGATAAATATATACTCCAATCACTAAAATGGGAAAAAATATTATTACTCACTCTGTATGCTTGGCCAATACCTCCATTATCAGCAATATTTTCTCCCAGTGTATTAATTCCATTGAGCTGTTAAAAAACAAAAGATGTTTAAAGATCCTTACCTGTATTTGGATTGTTAAGAAGGCATCGATAATGCACTTAAGATTGGATATATCTATTCTTCAAAAAGTTAAAAATAGAAATACCATATGATCCAGTAATTTCACTACTGGGTATTTACCCCGGGGAAATGAAAACACTAACTTGAAAAGATACATTTACTTACTGCAGCATTACATTAGCCAAGTCATGTAAGCAACCCAAGTGTCTATGGATAGACAAATGGATAAGGAAGAAGTGAAACATGGCAACACATATACACAATGGAATATTATACAATCATAAATAAAGAATGAGATAACATGGATGAACCTAGAGGGTATTATGCTAAGTGAAATAAGTCAGACTGAGAAAGACAAACACCATACAGCTCCATTCATAAATGGAATCTAAAAAAAGTGAATAAACAAACAAAAAGCAGAATCAAAACTATAAATACAGAGAACAAACTGATGGGTGCCGGAGGGGAAAGGGTGGGGTTTGGGCAAAATGGGTGAAGAGGAGACGGAGATATAGGCCTCCAGTTATGGAATGTGTAAGTCACGGGAATAAAAGCAGAGCATAAAGAATACAGTCAATGATACTGTAATGGCTGTAATGGGACAGATGGTAACTATACTTGTGAACATAGCACGATGTATAAACTTGTCAAATCATTAAATTGTACACCTGAAATTAAGGTAACATTGTGTGTCATCTATACTCAAATAAAATAAAAGCATCAATAAAAACAACAACAAAGATTGAATATATCTAAAACTTTTCAAGAGAATGTGAACATACATGCTGTCCACCTGCTAGGTCCCAGGAGAAGTTTCCATACTGGTACACCATGCATTGGGATTGGTCTTTAAAATTATTTGCCGACTGTTGAGTCCACCAGTCAACAAGGTCTCCATCCTTGTTAAAATTTCTGCCTGTAATATAATGATTTAAATAAAAAGGGAACTCATTACATCAAGAATTACAATAAGATATCTTTAATTCAAAAAGCAAGGACTGAAATACCACTGTGTGAGGGAACACTCAATTGGACAGGTAATGAGAGGAATTGCTCCCCTTTCTCATCCTGTGTTGATGAAACATGCACTGTGAGGGCCTGCTTTGCTGATGGGCCTTAGTATTGATCCAGGCTTTGTACCTACGTGGTTCCTGATATCTCAGCCAAGGCCACCAGCTAAGCCACTCCTGAAATCGTGCCTTGTTTCTCTTGGATGGTTTTCATATGGACCAAGTCTGTTTAATTTGGTATTTTGAGATTGAAAAACACTTTTTGTTCTGCATTCATTTCCTATCTCAAAGCCCTCATGAGACACTGAGGACTCAGAGTTTCCCTCTACTTCAAGCACAAAGAAAGAGTCGTCCTTCCTCCTAGAGCTTTCCTGCTAAACCTAAATACCTCGATCTTTCCCTTTTTTGAGCTATAGTGGCATTTGTTAGATGCCATGTTTTAATACTTCATTTTATCATCCTTTTAAGTAGTTACTTATGATGTAGTGAATGAGAAGAGGGCTACAAAGATAAACTACTTGAACTCACATCCTGATTCCTCTAATTTCCTAGCTTTGTAACTTCGAGCAAGTCTTTCATGCGCCTCTACTTTTTTCTATTAAAAAAAAAATGGAAGTGGTATTAGTACCCACCTGAGAAAATTATTATATACTTGAATTGAGTTAACAGACATGTAGTAAGTCCTTTCCAAAATTGTACCCTTCTTGTCACCTTTTCTTTATATGGCATTAAAGTTTATTCTAGTTAAGGCTTAATTATTTTCTATTATTTTCTTCCTATCTTCTCTCCACTTGCAAACCAATTTTTGTCCTAGCTTCAACTATCACTTCCCTATGTATCTCATGTCTTTACTTCTATGCCTCTCAAATTTCATCGAAACTCTAAATCTCTTTTTGCCATTTGAGGCAGCATATAAACATTTAAGTGTCCATTATTTGCAAAGTCCTGAATTAGGTAAAGGGTGCAAAAAAAAAAAAAAAAGGCCCTGTCTATTAGCAGTTTAAAAGTCTTACAGGCACCTTACTTTTTGATTTTATATCTGATTTTAAGACATGAATCCTGTCCTCTAGAAGTCCAGATAGATAATACGTAAACAATCATGAAATAAGACCAAACATTATCATTGGTGTTGACAAACATCACAGTGTTTTCTCAATGTGAATATTTGTGTTATTCTGTCAGAGTGCAAAGCACACAGTGCTCATCTTACAACTAGACATTTCTGATCTTCCTAAGCAACAATTTAAAGGGAACGCTAAGAGTATGATTATTAGCCAATGATACCCTGATGATTAAATGTGTTCTTGTATTGACCAAGTATAATAACTCTATTCAGGTTTATTAGGATGTGTCTCAGCCAAAGGAAAGTGTCCACTGAACTTTACCATTGTCATCGAAGCCATGGGTGATTTCATGTCCTATGACCATGCCGATACCCCCGTAGTTCAACGAGTTAGACTGCTGGGCACTGAAGAAGGGGGGTTGCAGAATGCCAGCTGGGAAGACTACAAGGAAAGAAAATGGTTAAAGATGATCTGTGGCATTCTTCTTTGATGGCAGGCCTGGGCTGGGCTTTCTGCCTGCTGAGCTACACTTCCCAGTTTTGTCAGTTTCACTTAATTGTATACAAAAATCTTCTGTGATGAAACAAATGTAGGTCTTTTATGATTGATGACAACAAAGAGTTCATCCCAAAGCGGCACCATGATCTATGATTTATAATCACAATTCACTTTACAAACTCTGCTAAGATTGTTAGCAGAACTACGAGGAGTTTGGAGCTAGGGGAAATTATCATCTTCACTCAGAAGGACTTTTCCCCACTGCAAATATTTGGGAGAAACAGTTACTTAATAACACAAATACTACTTTTTTAAAAAAAATAACACAAGTATCATTTTTAATGTCATCTCTAACATTTTATCCATCTACAATAGCTTGTTAAATAAACAGAACTACTCAATCGGAGGCATCCCCCAACCACATTGCCCTATGTTATTTTCAACAAGGCATCTATGGCTATTTATTTCCTCATTTTTGGTTGTTGTCTTTCTTATCATCCTCACCTGCTCCAGCACCTCAAATATCAGTCCTTTGAGAGCAGACATTTGTGTGTCTATATGTATATTTGTTTGTTTATTTGTTGAGTCCATTTGTTTTTTTTACTCATTATGTCCAGCACCTAAAACTAGAATGATGCCTGGAACACAATAGGTGCTTAGGAAATATGTTGATAGGTGAATAATCAACGATAAATGAGTGAGCAAATAAATTTACCATGGTGTCCCAGGGACTACTAAATAAATAAATCACCTATTTTTTATGTCTACGCTGACATCTGCATTAACTTAGCTAGCTTTCTACACTTAGATGTCTCACAAACTTTAAATTTCATGTGTCAAACATCAAACTCATCATTTTCTCTTCTAAGCCATCACTCTCTTGACTTTATTTCTACTAGTGGCATTTGAAGGGTCTCAATCACACGACATGAACATTTTCTACTTCTCTTACATACCTGTTTTTTTATTTTTTAGGTATTTTATGTATTTGTTTTTTACCAAGTCTTACACAGTCTACTTAGGAAAAGACCAGGTCATGTACCTTCCTTCTAGGAGCATCTCTTCTGTTTATTTCCTCCTATCAGTCTTATTGCCATCATCCCACCTCCTATTATCATTCTTTGTCTTAAGAATTACTTGATTTCCTACATGATCTTTCCACTTCCTGTCTCACCCAACTATAACCTATCCTAAATCTAATCCATCCTGCAGCCAGATTAAAGTGTAACTTTGGTCATTATCACTCCCTTCTAAAAAGCCTTCCAAAGGATGGCTGTGATGCTTTCTAACTAAATACAGCATCTTCTTCCTGACCTTTGACTCCGTGGTCCTCTTCTACTTCATCTCTCTCATGCCCTCTCCTCTGCTCATAATGCTCATAACTTAGCAATTTCATCTTTCATGTTTTAAAATTCTAGTATCTACTGAATTATGTTCTGTAATAAAAAAAAATCTTTAGCATCAACACCTATTGCATATAAAGCCCTAAGGGATCACTATGTGGGACTCCAAGAACACAAGAGAAGGGCCCTGACCTTAAGAAATCTAAGATCGAGTTCACATAGTAGCAAATGTTGTTTCTTTATCTTTCAGGTGGGGAGAATATGGCTGAGCCTGGCATGGATTTCAAAGATAAATATTAGATGTTTACAGAGGAGACTTTAAAAATATGCTGGACAATTTAAGTGCTCTTCAGAACTTAAAAAAAAATCTGGAAAGTTGCCATAACATCCAAATGACAAAATAATTAGAAAATAAATACTGCTGCCCTTGGAGGATTTTGATGAAAGTTATACCTCACATATAGCTGCCTGAGTTATCAACAGTGCCAAGAAATTATTTTTAGCTTAACGTATTAAAATTATGTGCAGTACTTTATTAACTTAAAGTGAATACTATCTCCCACACTATGTACTTTGATTAAAATCCACTTTTTATATAAAATGTTCTTATGAAACGTGCTATCAAGACTAAACATTAACTGTAAAGATCCTGCTGCTTTAATTACATCCTGATATGTCATTCTTCAGGCAAGTGATAAGATTTTTTTTTAAAGATTTCATTTATTTATTTGAGAGAGAGAGAATGAGAGATAGAGAGCACGAGAGGGAAGAGGGTCAGAGGGAGAAGCTGACTCCCTGCTGAGCAGGGAGCCCGATGTGGGACTCGATCCCAGGACTCCAGGATCATGACCTGAGCCGAAGGCAGTCGCTTAACCAACTGAGCCACCCAGGCGCCCCAAGTGATAAGATTTTTGTGGCTCATATTAAATACTAGTCTTCAAGTTCAGCTTTGCAAATTATGATTTCTCCTTTTACACTGTCAGCTAAATCTCAGTGATGAGGATTTTCCCCATTAGCCAATTGCTGTTACTAGTAGACTTCATAACTTGATAACAACCAACTGCTTAGTTGTACATTTTTTATGTTCATGATTGTCAACAAGTTAGTTAATTAAATAAGTCATTGGTCCATGAAACAAAAAATTATGTTTCTTCCTATCTCCCATGCCCTCACTTCCCGGGTTTAGTTTTTTAAGGCTGCAAACAATTCAATTTTAGAATCTTTGATATAAAGTTAGATGACATCAGGTAAAATCAATTTTGGGTGGAAAAAGTTAAATATTATTTTTTACATTAAATGGATATCAATATGTTTGGAAACATTTGCTCTTGATTTTCAAGTCTGAAAATAAGATTCCTAAGAACAAGTAAGGTAACTTTACAAAATTTAATTATTTCAAGGTAGTCATACACCACCCGGGCTGAATACACTAAATAATCCATAGAAGGTTTCTGAAGCTCTATGGAGCAAATGTGTGGGAAATAAGAGACAGTGAATTAAACACTTTCGGTATGCCTTCCTGTCTGGGAAATTGATTTTTTTTTTTAAATTGACGTGAAATGGCAGGGGTGCATAAAATTTAGAATATAGTCTATCTGTGTGAGTTATAACAAAAAGTGGTTGGAATTGAATTAAAAAGAAGAAATTATTAATATGAATAACTCCTTATATGATAATAAAACAAGTTCTTTTTTGCCATAACATAGAAAGGCCAATCCCATGAGAAATTGCATGTGATCTAATTTAAGGTATTTGTGTGAGGATGGAAGGGTCATTTATGAGACATATGCTATTTTTTTTTTAAAGATTTTATTTATTTATTTGAGAGAGAGCACAAGTTGGGGGAGAGGTAGAGGGAGAAGTAGACTCCCCACCAAGCAGGGAGCCCGATTCGGGGCTCAATCTCTGGACTCTGGGTTCACGATCCAAGCCAAAGGCAGAGCTTAACCGACTGAGCCACCCAGGCATCCCGAGACATATGCTATTCTATACCAATTCTAATTCTATAATGCATCATATCAAAATTAAAAGTTGTATGTATGTAAACAGACACACACACACACGCATAGCCACAAACTCACTTTTTTTTTTGAAGGATTTCTTTCTTTTTTAAATTTAAAAAATTTTTTTTATTGACATATAATGTATTATTTTTTTCAGAGGTATAGGTCTGTGATTCAACAGTCTTACACAATTCACAGCGTTCACAATAGCCATACCGTCCCCAATGTCTATCACCCAGCCACCCCATCCCTCCCACCCCCCACCACTCCAGCAACCCTCAGTTTGTTTCCTGAGATTAAGAAGAAAGATGAAGGTCTGGATCTTCAATTACTTTTAGTTAAGACAATCCCCACTTTGAAGATTTAAAAGAATTCTCAAAGAGAAAATGTACACGTCAAAGATTTCTTGTCTTGCATGACACTTTCCCCTCTTCTGAACTGCTGTTATTAGCAGATAAGCATATGCAAAGACTTTAACAATTTTTCAGATTTCGAATTTCTATCTGATACATTTATCTTGAGAGTCTTTAAAAGGTCTTTCTTATTAAGAATGCTTATTGTAGCCAATTCTTGATTATTCAGAGGATAACTATTTTGTGAAATGTTGGGCCACTTTTACCTTCTTTTTCCTTTTGCCATGTGCTTCTTTGGTTTGAGGGTATTAAGTTCAAACTGAGAACATTCCCTGGTCTTCTCTGATCAGGGAATCTCTGAGGTGAACCAATTTTGAGCTGGCTCCAGGGATATGGGGTAATTCAGAACCAAGCAAGTTAACTGTCTTGATCTAAACTGTGTGGATCTGCTCTACAGAGGGGCTGAAGGGATGAACGTGCCAGGGTGGTCCTACTGAGGGTCTGTATGGGTCTTCTTGTTGGAATGAATCAGTATCAGGTCTGATAGGATCCAGGGTCCTTCCTGAGCTGGATTAAAATGAAGCTATATCCCTTAGTCTATCCTAATACAGAACAAAGGCCAGGCTGTCTCCCTTTGCCTTGGAATTCCATTAAAAAAGGTCATTATCCTGTTTAAGTTCAAGTCCAGAATCATCTTACACTGACAGAACTACTGAATATCAAAAAGAAGGCTTCAAAGTGGGGGCGCCTGGGTGGCTCCGTCAGTTAAGCCTCAGACTCTTGATTTCGGCTCAGGTCATGATCTCAGGGTCATGAGATCAAGCCCTGCTGTGCTGGGTGTGGAGCCTGCTTAAGATTCTTTCTGTCCCTCCCCTCGACTCCCTGCCTCCCACCCCCACACACGTGTGTGAACATGCATGCTCTCTCTCTTTCTCAAAGAACAAAACAAAAAACAAAGGGAAGCCTCTGCAGAGAGAAAGATGCTTCTAAGAAAGGGTCTGAATGGTTTCTGGGACTACATTGCAAAAGATAGACTGCACGGGTTCTGAGTTGATCATTAAACAGGCGCTGGTCTGAGTTTAGGTAATCATTGTACTAGCTAGGAAATGTATTAGCTTAGACTTTGAGCTAATTGGTTTTGATAGGTGCACATGCCTTCCTTATTATTTATATGTTATATAAACAAACTTTTCTGATTATTTTATATAATTCATTTTCATGTCATGAACCAAAATAAATTCCAGATGGATTAAAGGTTCATTTAAAAAATAAAAACCATAAACATACTAGAAGAAAATGTAGATAGTTTCTTACTTTAACTCTTCCTAGGTTTAAAAGCAATGGGGAAAGCTACAATCAAACTTTAAAATAAAATAAAGGTCATAATTTCTTTTAAAATTTGTATGAAAAATCTAGCAGGATTTTTCATCATTTCTAATCTAATCTAATTAGTAACAGAATTCATGAAAAATTGAGGTTCAGGGCAGACTCTGAGATGTTTACTTTAGAATAATGCTGAAATTATCTTCCCTTTTGATTCCTGATTGCACTTAGAAATGAAGGGCTGAACTAGGTGCACCTGGAGAAGCTGATTGTAGGGTTTGTTTAGTATACCCTCGGTAGTACTGAAACTGTTGGGTGCCTTTCTACATATTTAAAATCCTTGGGAAAAAACGGGTCTAGCTATGTAATGCTTAAGAAAGAATTTAAAGATCTCAAGGTCTTCCCAGGAAGAGAATCAATATATCTTTGTTATAGTAAGCCATTTAGTTATTCATTATATCATTCACTCATGTATTAATTTCTACAGATTCCTATAGTATTACTATTAGTGAGCATATATTTTTTTCTTTTTTGATTAAAAGTAGTTAAGTAAATGCAATCTCATACGGTTCAACCTAATATAACCGACTTTTCAACTTTCTGAGACCTTTGGAGTTGTCTAGAAAAATAGGTGATACAGATCAGGACCATCTCCACCAGAGCCAGCTTACAGAATTGCCAGGAGAACTGGATCTCTGCAAAGCTGGTTCTTGGAACCTTAAACCCTTTAAGATTTTGATGCTTAAGGAGTCCTAAAGTCAATATAACTTAATGGAGTTATAAGAGATGTTTAAAAAGTATTTAGAAATAAAATAAAAGCACTTAGACATAAGATAAACCACTTAGCCACAAATGAGAACATTGCAAAAGAAAGAAAATCACTTAATGTAATTTGTACTAACTTAAAATTTGCTACTATAGTGAAAAGAGGTACATGGATGCATTTACTTTCAAGGGGTATATTCAATGAATCAATAATTCAGCCTCAGCTGCGCTTTTATGGGGAGTACTATAAATTGGACATGCAAAGCACTACAAGTTGGTAACAACAGAGGCATATTAAAGAATTATTTAGGAATAGGCCTTACCTATCTGATTTCTGCCTGAAGAGTAAAATGCATTGACTACAGCTGCTCCGCTTATCCACCTATGGAAAACATAAGAACTCGTTACAAATTATACTATTAGTATCTGATTCAATTTGCTCACCACAATAAAAGCATTATTACTATTCCAAGATGAATCTTAACTTTCTGTGTGAAATATGATCAACAAATTAATATTAGCTCACTAGGTGAGATATCTCATTTGAAAGTATTTCTACTTCTTGAAAAATCAGAATATATCCAGGTCTACAATCCGTCACCTCACTTGTATGAATTTTTGTGGAAGCAAACCCATTCAGATGTATCTTTTTGGAAATTGCAAATGGATTGACATTATATTGAAATATGTTTACCTTTATGTTCCTAATACTAGGTAAGTATACCAACAATTCTGGAGCAGTTGACAGAATATTGAAATTCAAGTTGTTAAAACTTCAGATTCAAGTATAAATTTTTCTTAATTTCCTAGTTTATTTTGACACTGCGATATCCCCTTGTCAGGTAGTTACTTTCGGGTAATCTGCCTCTGATTACTGCCATCTTAAGTTTTTTTTTTAATGCAGCATTCCAGCTAATTGAGCAAAGGTATACATTTGTATGAAAACTGCAAAATGAAATCCAGGTTGTTCATAAGTAGATTTGTCTTTCTGTCTGTAGGTGCCAACGTTCCCATGTCTTTCTGCTCAGATGTTATGATGATGGCATAACAATAATCATTGTTGGAATATTACTCAGCCTTACAAAAGAATGAGATCGTACTATTTGTGGCAACATGGATTAGCCTAGAGAGTATTATGCTAAGTGAAAGATGTCAAGCAGAGAAAGGCAAATACCACATGATTTCACTTATATGTGGAATCTAAAAAACAAAACAAATGAACAAACAAAAAGCAAAAACAGACTCATAAATACAGAGAACCGACTGGCGATTGCCAGAGAGGAGGGGTGTGGGGGCGTGAGCAAAATGGGTGAAGGGGAGTGGGAGGTATAGACTTCCAGTTATGGAATGAGTAAGTCACAGGGATGAAAGGCACAGCACAGGGAATACAGTCAGTGGTATTACAATAGGGTTGTATGATGACAGATGGCAGCTACACTTGTGGTGAGCATAGCATAATGCATAGAGTTGCAGAATCATTGTGTTGTACACCTGAAATTAATGTAACATAGTATGTCAACCATACTTCAATAAAATAAAAAACAAAATCATTGTTATGCACCTTTTTGCAACAGGAGTAATATCCCCATCTTAATGGACCATTACATATATCTTTATACAGTCAATGAAAAATGTACAATTCTTGACTTCAGATAACCTCTTAAATGTCAGCACACATGTATACACTTAAGACAATCCTATATTATTAGCTAATGGTTTCATTGTAGTTATACCACCTTCAGGACAACAATTAATGGGCAATTATTATCCTACTTATTGAAGGAGTTTACAGTAATCAGTACAATGAGATTAAATCAGAACTGTTTCCAGACCCTGCTTTGCAAGGTAAGCAGTACAAAGTCAGCTGCCCATGTCAGCATTTTAGCTACAATTTCAGTAACTATTGTGGGATGTCAAATGGGAGTCTTATTTTGATCTCTCAAAAAGAACTGAGAGAGGGCCACATATAACTGATAAATTCTAATTAAGTATGGGCTTTATCTCCAATAACATGATGAAGACATTCATATAAAAAATTGGGGAATTAAAAAAAATCCAGATAACATTTCTGTGAATTTTTCTTCAGAAAGAAAATAAGTTTGAAGACAGAGGGGAGATGGTTGATCAATGTGTTTCTTTAGTTTGATGTCACTGTCATTTTAAAAAGAGAAGAATATTTTCAAACAGGATGGTGTGACTGATACAGCAGTTTGTCCCAATTTCATCACAGCTGAGTCATCAGTATTTTAATTTCTTGCAGGTTGAGGATTACAAGCATATAATTGTATTTATTTTAATTCAACTCTACTCAATTTCCACATGATTTGTGACGACTCACAACAAAAATATGCAAACCCGGGGGTGGTAAGACTAAAATCAAGAGATCAGAAACTATACAGAACAAGTAGATTTTGTTTGCGTGACCAAAAAGCATTACAAAAGGAAATATTTATATAAGTAAAAATCATGATCAGGAAAAATGATTTATCAGGACTATGTTTACCTATATTCACATAATTATTATGACTTAGGGTCAAGTATGGTTCTAAGTTGTCTGGCAGGAGGGACAAAATGGAATATATGCTCATGCTCCCCGTGAGGAGAAACAGCATTCCTTACAGTGATTCTTTAGAAAAGGCATTTCTGATGTGTCCTCAACATTTTGATAGCAAATATGGCAGCAGATTTTATGCATAAATAGCTTAAAATTATTAATTTTAATTGTTATAAAATTGATTTGACATGTTTCCAGATCTCAGTTGTTTTAAGGTTCAGTTTCTCCATTATGAACTGATTTAGTAACAGTATACTCTGCATGGACTTTTACAGGTAATCACAAATAATAGGCAAACTGGTTCTGAACTCAGGCACATGCTAAAAAGGAAAGACACAATGAGCCAATCCAAAATGTGTTCTTAAAATAAGTAGAGTACAGAGGGAAGGAGTTTGATATATGAAACTAATGTTTCACACAACAACAGAACTCAAAAGCAGGGTATAGACGAAGTTTATACACCCTTTTCATGTTTATTCCTTTTGTAAAAATAAATGTCATACCTTTGTTTTAGTGCTTTTCTGCTCTTCTCTTATATTACCGTGAGGGGTTTAAGATTGCATTTTGATTCATGTTTATAACTTTCCAGGAGGGAGTGTTTTACATATTAAAATGTCCACGGAGAGTTATACTTTCAAGAAAATACGAAGCTATTTATGACCACAGAACTCTCAAATAAAATTAGAATTATGGTGGTTAGTTCACAGAGCACTGGTGTGTAGTGTTTGCCTTTTCTTCCTTGAGAACTTTCACCATGCATCATCAGACCACCACCCCTGGGTGAGTACCCAGATTCAAAAGCACAGAGCATACTGTTCCTGGGAATGACAGGAACCTATAGTACTGTGATTGGACCATTACATCTTTTTTTTTTTTTAAGATTTATTTATTTATTTGAGAGCGAGAGCAAGAGAGAGAGAGTGCATGCGTGTGAATGAGGGGTGGGACAGAGGGAGAGGGAGAGAATCCTTAAGCAGACTCCCTGTTGAGCGGGGAGCCAGGACGCAGGGCTCCATCCCAGGACCCTGACATCATGACCTGAGCTAAAACCAAGAGTCAGCCACTTAACAGACTGATCCACCCAGGCACCCCTGGATCATTACATCTTAAATAAAATGATGATAACAGCTAGAGGTTCAATGTCTAATATGTCTGGTCAATCATGAAATATCTCATTACGTTACAGTAAAAGCTAAATTAGGGCAAAGAAATATTTTTCAAGTTAAATGGTGATGTAACAAAAACTGTAAGTTATTCTGATTTGGATGCAGCCCAAAGTTTCGGGAAAAGCTTCCATTTATGGGACACATAAATTTGATGCTAAATAGCGGCACAGAAAAGAGAAACTGCACGACAGAAGAGAAAACCAAATGGAGGTGATTCTCGCCCTAAAATACTGGAAAGTGCAGGTTACTTGAGAATACCTTTCAAGTCCAGACTGGAGGCCAGACACTAGCAGCCTCCTGGAGCAGGTATCAAACCCAAGAGATGAAGTAGTACCCTGTTCTTTGATTTTTCTTCCAGCCTCCCATGGTCTCTGTGTGTAGGGGTTTGGGTGTGTGTGGTGTTCAGTGAGGAATAGGAAAGCAAGAAAGAGGAAAACTTTATTTTTAATTTTGGAGCCATAATTGTGTCAGGTGAACTGATTCTTGTTTGGAGGCATTCAACAGAACAAAGAAGGGCCCCTATAAGTAGCATGGCCCTCAAAGCTGAGCTAACAGTGTGGATGGGAAATACAACTGAAATACCCTTGAGAGGGGGACCAGGTGTTTCTCTTCTATCTCTTATTACCCTGAAGAAGCCAGGAGGTGAGGAAATGAAAGCACAAAGACATCATTTTTACAGCAAGGAAGAAAGGCAGAAGTCGACAGCCTGATCCTGCAAACTTTTGGATGTAATAAACCCACTGGATTGCAAAAGCACCTGGAGTAAAACGCCTCTTTTACCCACTCATGTGTAACTTTCAAACTTAAAACAACAAAATTGTTAATGCCCCTTTCCCTAAAAGCGTTCAGTTTCCCAGCATCTAGTGGTCCCAGAGCAAGTCCTTTAAAATCAGCAGTACAAAACAATGATTTTCTCTATTTTCCTCAAGTACTGGTGGAAAGGAGAATTCTCATTTTCAACTGCAGTAACCACTGTAACCCTTTACATTTATTCATATTCTCTCACCAAGCCTTCAGAGTTTCCTAGATACCATCCATCTTTCAAGCCAGTCATAGAAGACAGATGACACCTCCAGTTTTCAGGTATAGAAACTAAGGCACACCATGTTTCTCTGACTTTTTCCTAATACACTTACAAAGTGATACAATTCGGAAAGGCATATGTAAACTAAAGGGAAAGGGGAGCCTCTCATCTTCCACTCCAGCTCAGTACGATGATGAATGCCATTTCCTTGCCAAACTCTTTAAAATATAAGTGCTCATTTTTATTTGCTTATCTTCAATATACAAAACTCACTTTTATTTATATACACTAGCAATGAACAATTCAAAAAGGAATTAAGAAAACAACTCCATTGACTAGAATCAGCATGCTGTACATTACATCCCTATGACTAATTATTTTATAACTGGAAGTTTATACATCTTGATCCCCTCTACCTCTATTACCCACCCTCAAACCACCCTCTGCCACCCTGGCAAGTACCATTCTGTTTTATGTATCTATGAGTTTTGTTTGTTCATTTGTTTTTTAGGTTCCACATATAAGGGAAATCATACAGTATTTGTTTTTCTCTATCTGCCTCATTTCCCTTAGCATAATACCATCAAATTCCATCCACATTGTCAGAAATGGCAAGATTTCGCTCTTTTTTATGGCTG